CTGCTTCTCCTTACAGGAGCTGCAGCCATGCTGTGGAGAAAATGGGGCAGTTTACCCCACATATCTGAGGCAAAGCTCTACCTCCTGGATAGTCACCTTAGCTCACCAGCATCATGGCTGTCCAGATACGAAGCAGGAGAAGGAAGGAAGTTGAACCTATCTTGCTTTGTGTTCCACTGGTCCTCCATGTAGAGTCTTTGGGGCAAGGAGCACCTGTAGGGCTTTCAACACTTGCTCTTCCCCAGCGCTATCAAAGAATCTAATAGGCATAAATTGAATAACAGAATCAGAGAATGGCTTGGGCTGGAAGGGATCATTACGTCCCAACTCCCCTGCCACAGGCAAGGTTGCCAGCTGCTATAGATCAGATTGTCCAGGGCCTCAGTCAGTCTGGCCTTAAACACGTCTAGGGATGAGGCATCCACAACCTCAGGCTGTGAAGGTTGTGAGGTTGTGAAGACTTCAGCCAGTCTTCATAGGAGTGGTGCTCTAGCCCTTGGATCATCTTTGTGGCCCTCCCCTGGACCCTCTTCACAACCTCCACATCTCTCCTGTGTTGTGGCCCCAGACTTTTATGCAGTACTCCAGATGGAGCCTCATGAGGGCAGAACAGAGGGGAACAATCACCTCCCTCAGCCTACTGGTCGCTCCTCCTCTTATGGAGTCCAGGATACCATTGGCCTTCCAGGAGAAAGAGAGCAAACAATTAGAGGGCTGTGGGGAGACTGAGCAGGAGAAGAGGTCACAAATGGAAAGTGGGACCAAAAAAAAATGTGTATGTATATGGCTGACATTAAAAAATAAGGGAATAATCTCTGCATCGTTCTCTAATGTCCATCTTGAATTAGGTTCACTTTGAAAATATAACAAAAATATCTTTCCATTCCTAGCATTTCACTCTCACCATACTGATGTGTCACAACACCTTGTGATGTTCTCAAATGTTGGCTGCTGGTGAAGGAAATAGTGTCCATGGGGCTGTATTATCCTTAGCTGCAAAAGCACAGTTCCACTGGCAGCCTCATAGGTACGTGAGGAGTATAGGGAGTACTGTGTACCTCATTGAGCTCACACAGACAGAAGGCATTAATTTAGTGTAACTGAATTTTCACCTTAACACCTTCCTCAGGTTATTTAAAAACAACAGCAAATGGTGTAGAAATCCCAATAATATCTTAAGAGCTGGCACTCTATAATAATAATGAAACAGTGTGTCTTACAAGCAACACAAGTATGTAAGATACTTATTGTACACACTTACATCAGCACAGTAGGTGTATTCATAGTAAAGTGTTCAAAATTGGTGTATAATAACTATATTGTGGACTAAATTGCTAAATAACTTCCATGATTTTAGGTTAAACCTGGATGTAAACATCAAGAAAGTTTCTGAGTTAGCTTTTTAAAGCGTTTTCCATAGTGCAAGTTGGTTAAGCCACAGTAAATGCAAAGTAGCAAACACATTTTTTTACTTAATTTCATTTTACAAATGCATCACCTATAGAACATTTAAAACTGGGTGTATATAAATGCATAACTTCCTGCAATGAGAGTCACTTTAAGAAAAACTGGAAAAGTAATAGAGTAATAATCATCTTAAAGTTTCATTTAAAAGATAGCCTTGTTGCCAAATAAGTAAGCTCAGAAGTAATGCCTTCTTTCCAAATAATTTTCTGGGGCCAAATCAGCTGATTGGAGTGTTCTGTCAGTCTTAAATACTAAATTATCCTTGATGATCAGAAACACATGAAATATCATCATGAATAAGTTATAATTTTCAGAAGCATGGTCAGAATGGTGATCTACCCAAAATAATTAAACGTTTGAATAATTTTTAAAATGCTGCATGCTTGTCTCAGTGCAGGTTATTTTTCATTATCAACAGTCTTGGATTTGATAAGCAAAAGGTGCTTTCTTGGTTCTACATGCAGAAATAACAAGCAAACAGAATGCAGCCAGTAGTACTGAGGCACTTTAACTGTGCTAATAGAAGTAATCCTGTGCATCTGCACTACGGGCTGTGCTTCAGGAGGGGATTGCTACATTGGCTTACTGAACATATTTTAATAACAATTTCTTTGTGAAGTTCTTTAACATAAATAAAAATGCAGCTGAAGGGTAGTTATAATCAGTCACTCTTCTTTCATTCAGAAGTGGTTCGCCGCCAAGATATAAATTAAAATTTAAGACCAACTTTCCCTAGAGTCATCACTCATTTAGGGAGTGCTTTCTTTTCAAGAGCCCAGCTATCCATCAGTGCTACTTTTATGGCCGCACAGCTCCTGGAGTATTATATCCCTCCCATTCTTCAGTGTAACTCAGTCCCTTTTCTAGAGTCGTGTGAATACAGCAACTGAAAAAATGTGGTGAAATGGGAAATTTAGCTGTGATTTTCAAAGTCGTTGTGTAGCCGCAGACACCTTATGAACACCTTATGAGACACCTTGTGAACTGTTTGTGATCTGTAAAGGAAACCTGTTCTCTAGGGCTCTCCTTAGCCAGAGCTTGAAGGAGAACAAAAGCTGTCTTTCTTGAAACACATGTAAGCAAGACCCAGAAAGCATCCTCTCTCTCACAGCGTGTTAGAGTACAAGCTAACAAACTGGAATGGTAAGCTCATTAAATAAGTTATCTTACGTTCTTCTGTTTCACCTGGCCAAACAAAGTATGTACATTTATAAACAAATCTCTTGCCTGCCCTCCCTTCCTGCTCCTCCCTTGCAGTATCAGGCATCTCTCTGGTTTTGTTCTCCGCTCCACACGCTTTCAGTATCTCTCAGAGCCTAATGATTGTGCATAGTAATTCACAGGTGACAAGGAGTGTTTGTTTACTTCACCTCTAAAGTTTATCTCTGGATTTATACCTTGATGCAAGCAACTCCAGTCAGTATCCCAGTTCATACTTGTGGGAAACTGTAGGGACTGGAGCACCTCCCCTATGAAGACAGGCTGAGGGAGCTGAGCTTGTTCAGCTTGGAAGAAAGAAGGCTGCGGGGTGACCTCATTGCAGCCTTTCAGTACCTAAAGGGAGCCTACAAACAGGAGGGGAATCAACTCTTAGAAAGGGTAGATAACAGCAGGACAAGGAGAAATGGTTTTGAGGGAGGGAGGATTTAGGTTGGATATCAGGGGAAAGTTTTTTACTCTGAGAATGGTGAGGTGCAGGAACAGGCTGCCCAGAAAGGTTGTGGATGCCCCATTCCTAGGGCAAGGCCAGATTGGATGGGGCCCTGGGCAGCCTGGTCTAGTATTAAATGGGGAGGTTGATGGCCCTGCATGTGGCAGGGGGGCTGGAGATCCATGATCCTTGATGTCCCTTCCAACCCTGGCCATTCTGTGATTCTGTAATTCTGTGATTGTGCCCCAAGTTTGCTCTCAGTCCATCTCTTGGTTTCCTCTCTCAGCGTACTGTTGTCCGTGCTTCACTTTAGAGGGCAATAGCTGAGAGTGAAGAGAGGACACATGTAGCCTATGTTTTTGGTCTCCTTAGCTGTCTCTGTTTTCACAAAAGGTACCTCTGGAGGGCTGACTCTTGACTGTCTGCCAGACTTCATCCAGCCACTCTTCCCTGCTTCAACAGAACTTGGAATCATAGAATCTCTTGAGTTGAAAGGGACACTTAGAGGTCATATAGTCCATCTCCTCTATAATGAACAGGGACTGACAGCTAGATCAGGTTCCTCAGAGCCTAGTCAGCCTGACCTTGAAAATGTAGTGAGAAAATAAGATGGAAGACAGGAAGATGGGGAATGAAGCTTATGGTCAGAACACAGCAGTTTGTCTGTGCTGCTCCTTCTTCCTCACACTTTCCTCTGGCTCTGGCATGGCTCTTCTTTGAGCTGCAGTCCTTTAGGATGAGCCTGCTTAATGTGGGCTCTCTATGGCTTGTAGTTCTTATCATAAGAGCTTTCTCCAGCTTGCTCCTGAGCTTCCCCATTGAGGAAATACTCCCTCCACAGGCTGCAGTATGGGTATCTGCTCCACAGGGGTTCTTCCCACAAGCTGCAGGGAAATCTCCACTCTGATATGTGGAGCACCTCCTTCCATTCCTTCTTGTCTGGCTCTGCTGTCAGGACTGTTACTCGCTTTCTTTCTTCACTGCCTGTGCAGTGTTTTTGCCCTTTCACAAATAGCCTTGCCCTGAGGCACCGCCATCTTGGCTGCCAGGCTCAGCCATGCGCTGCAGTGAGGCCAGCATGGGGCAGCCCTGGCCTTGCCTCACAAATACAGCTCCTCGCTGCCTGCACCTTAACACCTACTGCATTACCATACAGTATGGATGCTGTAAACTGTGGATGGACAAAATAGTCGTGCAGTGAGTGTTTGGATATTCTTAAGACTTGAGAACATGTGACCTTTCCGAAAGGTCTTACTTAAAGGAGGAAGCTTAGTTACCCAGCATCGGTCACCTGAAAGTTAGCCGTCTGTGCAAGGTTATTTGTAGATGCTTTGACACATTACATGTAGGGAAAGCACTTTCAGAAGTTGACACTGACAGAAAACTGGATACCTGGCCTATTTTAGATGCCTAGCTGTGAGCTGACTGGCGTGACGCAGATCTCAACCCAGTGTCTTAGAACAGGCAGTCAAAAACAAAGGATTACTCTTGAAATTTAGCTGTAAAATTTGCTCTCATGTGTGATGTACATAGCACAAAGCAAATGCATTTTCTTCACCTTCTGAAGACATCCAGAACTGAGGGTGAACTGAGTCTTTGACGAACACTGTGCATGCATAATGATCTGTGTTCAGTGGCTTAGGTCCACAGAATGCATTCCTATAGCTTGTATGCATTCAAATATTTGCATGCCATTGGAAACGTTTGTGTTTATCTGTAGAACTTCTAGATTATTTTGCAAATATGACATCTTATTTGTGAAGCTTCAAGCAAAATGTGCCATGCAGCTTAAGTGGATGGATGTGTTGTACACCCTAATGTTGTTCTGGGACAAGATTAATTTCAGCATGCTCGTATTAATCCATTATATGTCTCTTTCCAGCACAAATGGACCCCCGAGGCCTATCTCCCAGACAAATTAAAAGTGACAGTGATGATGACGACCTGCCAAATGTGACCTTAGATAGCGTTAATGAAACTGGATCTACAGCGCTCTCCATAGCCAGAGCAGTACAAGAGTAAGTATCGCCTTCTCAGAGTGAGACAAGTACTGCCAAGGTGTGCCCTGGCTGCTGGAGGCACCGGTCATCAGCAGCTCTGTAGAGGTGTCTCTCAGCTTTGAGCCGGCCTACCTGTTAGCAGCTTTGCTGTTTAGCTTCATTCCCTTTAGGAAGAGATAGCTACCACTCTCTGCTCTCTCTGATTCATTTCTTTCCTCCCTAATTACTAGGTAAAGTTTCAGATTAAAATTATTCTCCATTATTTGCTTACAGAACTTGCAGTGTATTTATATTTACACCAAAGGGATAGCAGTTTAGACTTGCCTTGAAAAAAAAAAAAGCAAACACTTTTTTACTGATTGAAAGCAGCATCAGGAAGTTTCTTCTAGTTGCTGTCAAACAGAAATCGCCCACATTTCTCGTAAAGAATAGAATAATTGAAAGGAAATTAATGGTGTGCTTTGAACACTTTCTACTACTGCTGTTTTTCTTTGTACTTTTACTTTCTGGATGGACAAAATATATTCCCAATTTAATTTCTTTATTGCTTGTTCAAAAAAAAGAGAAAGTTTATCACAAGCATTAGTAATGCTGCAGGCACATAAGCTTGCTCAGTCACTGTAGCAGCTGGAAGGGAACCAACTGTGAGGTAAATAAGTATTAATATCCCCTTTTATAGGTGAGGAAAATGAGGCTATGTGTAAAGGTCACCCTGTAAGTCTGAAGCAGAGCTGGAAATAGAACTAGAGCCTCCAGGCACTGAAGCCTGTGCTAGCCCTACAAAACATATTACTCCATCCAAGAGGTTCAAACTATGGGCCTTCTGGACATTATTAAATAGGAAGAGATATAATAAGGGCTGCAAGACATTGTTGTTATATAATTAATTATAAATGCATTTTAAATGTATTAATATCTAAAAGTATTTACATTCTCTTTTCTTTCCTGGCTATCAATAGCCAAAAATGCTGATGTTCCCAAAGCAATAATCTATATGCTGAGAGAAAACTGTTGTGTTTGGGGGGAACTGCTTTTTTTGCACTGTTTAGGCAGCTGGGACATGAATTTTCTTCCTGAGGTGTTCCTTACATCACCCCCTTCCCACCGTAACTCAACATTCCGTGCAGAGGTGCAGGAAGGAAGATGTGTTGTGCAGGAGAGGGCTGGCAGTAATGATTCTCTAGTGCAGACTTAGCAGGTACTGGGAGCCTGAAAGAGCATCCAGCCATGCTGCCTCTCAGAAACACTCCACCTGTCCCGATTCAGGAGGACTTTGATCAGACACCTGCTAACTCATCTTTGGGTCAAGCACTGAAATTGTGATCCTCAAATCTGTATTCCCCCTGAGCAGAGAGGGTGTATGTCATGGCCAAGGCAAGGTGCTGGCTCTCACTGTAATTAGCATGACAGTGATAAAGGAAGGAAACAGTTCTTCACCAGTGCTGCTGCTGGTTGACTGACAGGCCTCACACATATTTTAAATTTGCTAGTTACAGCACCCAACCCTGAAGTGCCAAGTATTTTTTTTCTCAGTTTATAGCACACATAATAAGCCAGAAAAGTAGTATGACCCATCATGATTTTGCTTTAAATAGTTTTGCCTAATTAAAGAAAAGAGAAAAAGGCATGGAGAGCTGGTGAATACTTTTAACATATGAGTGGCAGGAAGATGCTGTTTTATGTGCTTGACATTGCTGGAACACTTAGAGAATCGGTCAAACCATGAAAAGCTTTTTTAGAATAATTCATTCCACAATTTATGAAGGAAAATGTGTTGAATATTACTTGGCTGGCTCTGGAGCTTAAGAATTAAATTAAGAAATTTAATAATACAGCATCAACTCATCCTTGTTCCAGGTTTTATTTAAACAGTAATCTGTTAGTTTATTTCAAAAGCCCCATTAGGAAAATTTAATTTGACTGTGATCTGCAATTTGTCTTATTTTTTACTTCATTCTCAGTTGCAGACACTATACATACAGCTGCTGAGCTGAAGAAAAAGATGTTAGCACATTATACTGACTCCATTCCATTCATTTCTTCCTTGGTCTATAATACATTGCCTCACAGGCAGGCTCCATTCTATAATTTTGTCATCTAGCCTGTACCTTAATTTTAGATGTCTAGCAAAGCAATTCACTGAAATTAAAAGCCTGCATTCTGTGTCCCATTCTTGCAGAGAGGAAAGTGCCTTTGAAGCCTTCCAAAGGGAGATCCTCTGTGCTCAATTTAGTATCTAAACTTAGCGGACAGGAATTTCCTCTGAAGACGAGGACAGGCACCTCCTGTTCCCTGAGTAACTGGCCAGTGTAGGTGCATGCAAAGAACGAGTGGAACGAGTGTTTCAGGTGGATCTAAGCTAAGTGCTGAGATGTGGTAGGTTGACCTCAGAGTCTAGAAGATTCTCCTATAGCAAGTGAACTTTCTTAAGCAGTATTTAAGTGCTTTCTTGTGAACAGGTAAACGGCTAATGACAAATAACTTACTGGTGAGAGTATTCTCTTCGTGGAGGATACTGGCAAATGCAGCGTGGCTGCCTGCAGAGGGATGTCAGTATCGTGTTCTTCAGCATTGGTTGCTGTTGTCCTTGTTTAACAAAATGCCAATCCTAGTTTGTATGTGCTAGTGGCAGGTGCCACACAGTATTTGACCTTTTTCTGATTGGGTTTTATACATTTTTTAAATTATCCTTCATAAGGATTATAAATACATGTCTATGTAATACATGTTTGCCTGTTGGCCCTTATCCTCCAATTGCCTAATTAGACATCTGCATCCAGGCTCATTATCTGGCCTCCCAGCATATGGAGCAGATAGCAGGAGATGTGCCCAGCTGGTAATTCTTTTGACCAATGCTAGTTGTCTAATTTAGGGAGAAGGAGGACCATGTAGTTTAGGGAGGCCATGCGCACAGCTGTCTAGGGTGTGCACATTGGCCCTGCAGTGCACACCCTAGTGCCAGGTGAAGGTAAGTCAACCCTTGGCTGGACTTGAGGGTCAGTATGTCACCAAGTGGGAGTTGGTGCTGCATGTACCAGCATCTTCCCTTGGGTCTAAACCTGCTAAGTTGGATGAGTAGCACCAAGGATTAGCCATGAACTGGAGAAAACCAGTCAGTGTCTGAGGGGGAATGACATTAATATAACCATTTTTAAGCTTGTTGCCTTGGAAATTCCCCTTATGTGGGTAGTTCACAGGATAGCTTGGAATGCCTGTATGACAGCTTTGCTTTTCATATCATGTAAAACTGAAGGCATCCTCCTGTGTTTCTGCTTTGTTTCAGGTCCATTGCAGTCTAAGTAGGAAAAAATTCTTTCCAGAAAAATTCGGACAGTTAGATGCTAAGAGCTGCGTGTTTGGCATTAGTTTTATTTACTTAAACAGAAATGTAATTTGGTTTCATATTTGTAAAATAACCAAGTATGACTATTTTTTCTCAGAGAAATTGCCTTCTTGCTGCTAGCTTTGTATTGGCAGAGCTTGCAGACTTCTCATTAGTTGGTTTGGAATGACTTTGTAGTCCTACTTCAGCTCAGCAAACCCAATCAATAATGTAAAGTTATAGATAAACAAAGTCATTATTTCAAGCAAAGCACTAGGGTGAAATTTCTTTATGTGAGAGTGCTGCTTCGTGGCAGTTCTTGTGCCTTACCATATCTTAGATTAAGAATAATTTATTAATCTTAGATAATTTGCTCTGTCTGGTAATAAATATTGCCTCAATATGTAGATTTCAGTGAGCTTTGCACTGTAAGCAGCATTTCATCCTTTTTCTAGCATGTTTTACAAACTCATTCTGACATGTAGCTCTCTAATAAAGAGCAGGTTTGCTTCTATATGCCTGACACCACTGGATACTTATTACACAGCATCGTATATTCAGGGTCAAATCTCAGACACACTCCAGAAATCTTTATGAAGGCAAGGAAAGAGAAAGCATTAGTCAAGGCTTAGAAGACCAGTAAATTGTTGTAAGGTGCCCCTTATAGGTTGTTCCCTCAGCTTAGGAGCCCTCCCACCCCTGGATAGCTATGATACAGTGGGTCTCAGGAGCCACCCCATGGTGCATAGCAGTGCAAAACTTGATCAGGGCTTTCATCTCCTTCTTGTCCTGCATGCTTGCACCACATAACTCCAGTATCTTAAAACATGCAGCTCTCTCCCTGCAAAAAACACGTGCCAAGTCATCTCCCCTACATGCAGAGACTGAGGGCAGAAGTGGGAGGGACAGAGGGGGATGTGTAATGTGAACTTATGATAAATGTATTGGTTAAAAAAAAATTAAAAAAAAATCTAGACATTCCTTTCTGTCTCTATTTAGTTTTTTTCTCACTGTGGGATGTAGGTGGATAAAACCTTTTATTTTCTTTAGATAATACCAAGGAGAAGATGCACTGTGCATGTAAACTGATGTTGCTGCTTAAGGTAGCTTCCTGTTTCTCTAGAGTGACTGAGAGACAGAAAATTCAGAAAGGAAGTCCTGAATACTGGTAGTTATAGCTGCAGTTACCTCATAGAAATGTGATTTGTCATCTGGTTGTGACCATGGTGACCTTTTGTGTGAACTCTTTTTGTGCTGCCCTGGATGCTGCTAAGTGCTTGCGTGAAAATGAGACTGGGGGCTTTGATCCTGCTGGCCCTTCTATTTGGCTGAGATTGATATGTTATGAGATTGATATGTTAATGCTAACATGATCATCTTTATTTTTAAATTCTGTTGGAACATAGTTCTGGATACTGCAGTAGTGAAAAGCTAAGTCCCCAGCAGGTAGATAGCACAGCCACGGTACCAGTGTACTCTTAAGATGGTATGTAGCTTTCACATCTGATTTGTTTCTCCTTATATCTCTTATTTCCACAGTCCTGTGGTTGATTTTTTTTTTTTATCTCTCACAGGTTTTATAAGTGTTGTTCCCATCAACCATTCATTTTCTAGACTGATACTGTCTGTTTTCCTGTTTCAGCTGCAATCATTGCTACTGCTGTGCTATTCATTATAGGGAACTTTCACCTCAGTT